TGAGAAAATGTTTTCCCAATTAGTGATCTGTCTGTTTTTAGTAATGTCTCTTTTGCTGTACAGAAGCTCTTTAACTTGATGTAGTCCCATCTATTTATTTTTGCCTTCACTATTGTGGCGTTGGGTGCTCTGTCTTTAAAGATGTCACTGGGGAGTTGGGTTTTTAAGACTTTGAAATGCCAGAGTCCTTCAAGTCTAGGCAGGTGCAGGGTACAGATAAAAAGGTTAACATGAGCACCCCAACCTTTTTGCATTCAAACATTACTGGCCAGGAAAATACACATGTCTCTGTCCAGAAGCTACCCTGTGTGTGCACTCAGATAGGCACTGCTATTTCATAGTTACAGGAAATGATTTTTCCATTTGTGCTGAAAAATGCTCAAGTCCTGCTGCAGCTAGTGGGCTAGCACGGGGTGGTGGTTCCTGCTCTTGTTCCTCCCACCACTTGTGGGAGTGTTAATAAGTCTACCTCGTAAATAACAACAGAGCACATTGCCATTTTGTTTTTTATTAGCTGTGATCTTAGTGTCCAACTATACTGAGACTTAGGAGTATTCACTGATGATGCTTTTCCCTTCACTAAAATCAAACATGGAGGGGGAAAAAGGATCTGATAAATGCCAAGCAGATGAGGAGGAAGGCAAGGCAGGGCACAGAGGACAAAGCGGCGCTGCTGAGCGTTGTCTTTATCCGTGAGCTTTAGTCTGGGTTTTGGGGAGAGCCTACTTTAGTAGGGGTGAGGAGCTAAAGCAGAATGCATCCTTCAGAACTGGGTATGACTGAAGTTTTAACTTTTTAAAAATTATATATTTATGCACACGGAACTGGGGTACAGGCCAGAGGTGCAGGGGTGGTGAGAGGCTTCACCAGAGACAGTGGGGAGCAGAACAGGCTGATTGTCTAAGTACACTGCTGAGGGGAGCAGTGGGCAGGCCAGGAGAGGTCTGCCGCGCCATGTGGGTCACCTCCAGGGCAGGGATTGAACTGACACTGAAGTGGCTGCAGCCAGCTTGCAGTGCTGCATCCTAACTAGTTGCACCACAAGGGAGAGTCTGAAGTCTTAAAAGCTTAGAAAAAATTGAGTCCTGCCCAGGTTCTGTGATCACCAGAACTGCTGGGTGACAGCTTAGAGAGATGAGGCTTCAGCTATTCCTTACTGTCTCCCATGACAGACCAGCAGCCAGCTGAGAAAATTCACCCCTTGACCTAAAGCTGAGTAGTGCTTCCACACCATACAAAGGGTTTTCCTCCTGTTTCTGCCAATAGAGCTTCCAAATCTGCCTTCCTGGCCCCATGTCTCCCCCATCG